GCACCATCCCACCCAGCCCTGAGATGTGCTGGCCACCCTCATGCCATGCTTCCCGGCAGCGGCCAGAGGAAGTTAGCCACACATCTGTGAATAAATAGGGCATAAATAGAGTTTTCAACATGCCCGGCTGGAGTAAGTGAGGCTGTGAAACCAGGCTGAGCACTTCCCAGCTGGAGAAATCAGAGAGAAATGATGTTTGAGTTCCACTGTGATTTTGGGAATCAGCTTTTCTGGTTTCATCTCTGTTTCCCTGCTTCAGAGGGGGCCACACTTTGCTTTCTCTTCTCTTTAGGAGCAGGAAAACTCCCTCTGTCTTGGTTTTCTCCCAGCGTGCCCAGGAGTGAGCTCTGGCTTCTGTGGGTTTTGGTTGAAGACGAACCAAGTGCTTCTTCAAACAACCTCCCAGCGCGATGCCCACGGCCAGCCAGGAGCCGCTCGCTCCTACAGCCACGCTCTGCCACCGCTGCTGGGCTGGGATACCCCCCGGCCTGGAGGGGGGGAAAAATGCTGGAAAAAAACTGAGGAACATAAGGAAAGGCTCGGGGCACTGCCTGGGGCTGGCGCTGTGGCTCTCTCCTGAGCATCTCTGCAGGGTTGAAGCTTCACAGCATGGCAGGTGCCGGGAGCTGCTGGAGCGGGTGCCAGAGGAGAGACCGCAGAGCATCCCAGCATGATACCAGGGGCTGATGTCCCTCAATGCCACCTCACTGGGCAGCTGGCACCAGCACACCCCGGCACCGAGCCCCAAGCTGGGCTAGGTCACACCCCCTGACCTGTGGTGGCAGAATGGTCCATCGACCAGGCAGATCCAGCCATCCTCAAGACGACAGTGACGGCTTCTCAGCAACGGCTCTCGCCTCCAGCAGCCCCCAGAGCATCAGCGCTTGGGCACAGGGTTGTCCTGACATGACCCCACAGCGCAGCCCTCTGCATCCCCGAACCCACCCAGCTTGGCTTGACAGCAGCTGGCGCCTCTACACGGTCCCTGTTAATTAATTTGGGAGGGATTTACGCATCTGGACACATGTGAGAAAAAATGAAATGTTATCGAGGAAGGGGGGCGGGCGCAGGCAGGCGGCCAGCGGCGGGACAGGCACGGGGGGACTCACTATGGGAGAAGCTCAGGCTCGTACACAGGCAGGGGGATGTCATCGAGCCCCTTTTTAATTGTTAACTTATTAATATTTATTATTATTAACACACAGCTAGAAACAGCACCACGATTAAAATCTGCTATGTAAGGCATGGGGTGGGATCCCTACCCCGAGGACTCACACCGGGGGGGGGCCGCACCGCTGGGACACGCTCGGAGCCCCCATTTATCGCCCCCCTATTTACACCCCGGGCTCTGCATGGCACAGATCATGGCACCAGATGGAGTAGCTCCCCTTTTTATTTTTTGGACTCAAGTGGTGGTTTTGCACATAGCAACAGAAATGGGGAGGATTTCCCCGAAGTGGGAGCTGCAGCCACAGGGAAATCAGTGTGATCCCACTGCCCGGTGCCTCCCAGGGCGGGGGAATCTGTGATTTCCCCAGTTCTCTGGCCAAAATGCTTTGAGTCCTTTCAAAGCTGAGAACTGAAATATTTCATCTTCAGGATGTCAAGAACTTTCGACTCCTGTCGATTTTTATTCCTCCCCAGCAGGAGGAGGGAAGTGATGAATTGAGCACAAATTTGCAACATTCGGTAACTTCCATCTGCAAATCCGAAGCCAGGTTCATCTCTGGCACGCTGCAGTGTGTCCATCCATCCACCACTCTCCGGGCGACTGGTTGGCAGATTGCTTGGGCTCGTTAGCAATTGCTAATTCACGCAGGGGGCTGAGCTGACTCCAGCAAGCCTCGCTTGTGGGGGGGAGGGGCTGCTGGGGCGCCCTATGTCCCGCTGGGGGTGAGATGCCAGTTTAGGTTCCCCCCATCATCTATTCCCGAGCAGATGCTTCGTTACCTTCACAGGCTAATTTGCCTGTAGAGAGGAATGGATGGCTGCTCCGAAATGCCTCCTCGGAGCGCCCAGCAGCCGCCTGCGCTGCCTCACTGGAGCTCTGGGTAGGGGAGTCCTGATGCAGGGGGAGGAGGGATGGGGAATTCCGTGCCCGCCATGAGGCCGGTTGTTAACTGGAGGATGCCAAGACCCAGGACCATCAGCAGGGTGGGAATTCAGCATCCGAACACTCAAAATACATATATGGGCTGGAAGAGGCATGAGGCTGGGAGTGTCTTTGAAGAAAAGCCCAGGGAGAGGTGCTCAGTGCGGACACCATGGTCGGATCCTGACACCAGACGTGTACCTGGCTCCTACGCTCCCCGGGGCATGGGCCAGAGGCTGGGCTGGGGACAGAGGACCTCGGGGGCAACCGCTTATGGCCACTTCCCTGCTCTCAGCCTGCCAGGGCCGGGTCACTGGGGAGATGGAGCCATGGTACCCACACCCCGGTGAGAGGCATCCCTGCGCTCTGGGGAAGGGGATGCTTGGGGTCCAGCCGGGCTGCGTGTGGGGATGGGGACAGCGGGGAGGTGGCGGGGTCCTGCTGGGGAGGCAGGACACGGGAATGTCACTAGGCTCGTCCTGCCGTGGTGAGGCCAGGCCTTCCTGGAGAGCCAGAAAATCCAGCCCCGGCTCCCTAATCGGCCTTGGATGGGTGACACTGGGGAGTGGCCAAACCCCAGGCTGCGGCACCAAGTGCTGGGGAGGTGAGCGGAGCAGCCCATGTCTCATCCTTTGTTTTTCCCCATGGCTGGCAATGGTTAGGAATGAGAGCGAGTATTTACGTGCTTGCTAAAATTATTTTCAGTGTGGGGAGATTGCGTGCAGCGAATAGGGTCAGGCTGGAATGGGGCAGCTTTTGGGAGAGGGGGAATATGATGGGGGTCTTCATTTGCATTTAGGAGGCAGCGGTCCGCCTTCGGGAGAGAAATGAAGGCTCAGTCCCTCGCTGCTTCGTGGCGGTTGGGGTCACACCACTGGACAAGCAGATGCTGCAGGGAAGGGCTGAGGCTGCAGGCAGCGAGGGGGAAAGGGTTAAAGCCCCCGGCTCCAGCACAGGTTGCATTAATAGCCAGGGTGCCTGGGAAGGTTGAAGGCTTCCCCCAAATGCCACTGGGCTTTGGCTGGAGCCCAATGGTGCTGACTTCAACCTGCTGGAATGC